AATAATAATAATAATAATAATAATAATAATAATAATAATAATCTTTATTTATATCCTGCCACCATCTCCCTGGAGTGTGGTAGAGACTCCTTCTTTGGAGGCTTTTAAGCAGAGGGTGGATGGCCATCTGTCAGGGGTGCTTTGAAGGTGATTCTCCTTCTTCTTGGCAGAATGGGGTTGGACTTGGATCTCTTCCAACTCTTCTAGGATTCTATGAAGAGACTTGGGGCGGCCTACAAGAGCGCTCCAGGGTGCCACACATAAAAATAATCAATACTTATGCATAGAAACAATAACAACATCAACTAACCACTGCAACACATCAAACGTACACAACTTCACATGATAAACGTTAACGTATATAACATACAGGGTTGCCTGCGGGTAATCCTGGCTCACTTCAGTTAATGAGATAAAAGTCATCTCTGGGCTGAGAGGGGCAGTATATAAATATAGTAAACAAACAAACAAACAAACAAGTGCTGGAGTGAACAATCAGTCCTCACATGCAACCATTGCAGACTATTCAAGGACAAAACCCTGTTTTTAGGCTAGATTGAATGTTTTGGAGAGTGGGAGCTAACCTAATCTCTTTAGGAAGGGCATTCAAGAGCCGAGGAGCCACCACCAAGAAGGTCCTCTCTCTCGTCACCACCAACCAGGTGGTGGGACTGAGAGAAGGGCCTCCTCGGCAGATCTCAGAGCCCTAAAGGCCAAAGGGAGAGCCCGATGCCCAGCCCTGATGCCCGTGTGCCCCCTCAGTCTCTTTGCAGGCTCCCAGGAGGCCCTGGCTGGGCTGCCCCCCGAGAAGGGCCCCTCTGCGGCTCCCATGGAGGCCCCCGCACCCACGATGACGACGAACGCCGAGCCCCCTGCGGCCCTCCACTGCCACCAGTGCCGCGGCCCCTGCTCCCCCAGTCAGAGCCAGCAGAAGCTCCAGGCCCAGAGGAAGCTCCGCATCGCGTGCGCCGTCTGCTTCCTCTTCATGCTGGGAGAGGTCATCGGTCAGTGGGGCTGGAGGAGGTGGGGTGGTGTGGGGGGAGACTTCAATGACCATCCTTTGCCTCTGAAGCCGGCTCCTGAGTCCCCTGTGCTTGCCTTTCAGGGGGCTACCTGGCCCACAGCCTGGCCATCATGACGGATGCAGCCCACCTGCTGACGGACATGGGCAGCATGGGGGTCAGCCTCTTCTCCCTCTGGGTCTCCACCCGGCCGGCCACCAGGACCATGACCTTCGGCTGGCACCGCACAGGTAGGGGCCTCCTCCTCCCTCCAAGATTGTTGTAGCTCAGCAAGTGGCTGAGGGTTCCTCTGACTTTTGTGGCATGTTGGAGGACAGGGGTCTGCTGGATTTCAAGTGATGAGTCTGCCAGTGCTAGGAGAGATGTGGTCGTTCCCAAGCCACCAGGGATAGTGAAACCAGTTCCTTTGGCCAGTGGAGAGTTTTCCCACAAAACCAGATTAGACTTGAGAACAGAGGGAGTGAAAAACAGACCAATTAGACGGTCTGAGAGAATCTGTGAAGAGGTCTGGAAGGCCAGGTGCGTTCGGCATGATCTCATGGCTACTTGGTCAGACTTAAGGCCAACATTACTTAATTTAAGTCTGATCAAGTAGCCATGACATCATGGCGAACGCACCTGGCCTTCCAGACCTCTTAGAGGAGACAAGGTTGGCAAAGGATGGCTGTCTCAGCTCTCAAGTTCATGTTTCCAGTATCTTCAAGTTTCGTATTTTAGTTCATGCCTATGTTTCCTGGAAGGGTTTCCCTTGAAAAAGTTCCCGTTGCCTTGTTTATAGATTTAAGCTTGGATTTTGGTACTTCTGACTTTATGTACTTTGATTTTTTTAGATTCATGTTGCTTTTGTATTCACTATTCTCCTGACCCTTTTGGAATTGCCTTTTTGCATAAACATTCTTAGTCTAGTGTGTGGCGCTGGGTTTAGCATGTGATTGTGTCTGATGCTCATGCTGATGCTCATGATGGGAATATTCCTCATGGGATTGGGGATGAGGGTTTATTTGGGCCTGAGTTAAATTCAGGATGATTCACAAGGCCACATTCCTGGGAGAGACCTTTTACCGCTTTTCTCAGACGCTTCACCGTCCATTTTGGAGCCAGAGTGCAACATTGACCTCCAAAGCACCACGAAGTGCATCTATAGGACAGAGGTGGACAGCTGACCATTCACTCCTTCTCCCTTTCCCCGCACAGAGACGCTGGGGGCGCTGGCCTCGGTCCTCTCCATCTGGACCGTCACGGCGGTCCTGGTCTACCTGGCCTCGGCCCGCATCATCAGCAACGACTACGAGATTGAGGCCTCTGCCATGCTGGGCACCTCCGCCTGCGCCGTCGGGGTCAACATCATGTGAGCAGAAGCCAAGATGGTGATGGTGGTGGGGATTTGGGGGGCTGCAGCCACATAGGCTCAGGTGTCACAAGTGGGGGCTCGGGGACCTAGGACCAAAGAGGAAACCCACAACTGAAGGGCCCATGTTTAACCTCTGTTCTCAGTCATAAAGCGGTTTTGTGTGGGGAGTCATGGGGAGAAAGACCTCCCACCTTCAGGGGATCGCCAGAGAGAAATCTATGGAGGACTCCTCCACCTTCCATGGGGTGCAGAAGAGGGGCTGGCAGGAAGCCTTCCTTGTCAGCCAACCAGCAGGAAGCTCTCTTCTGCAGAGGCACAGGAGCCCTGGCCCATTTCCTGTGTGCCTTGTGGCCCCCGCATCCAAACCCACTTTCCTTTGTTGTCGAGCAATTTAGAATTGCTGTGGATAGTGAGATCAAAGAACCGCCTTGAGATGCCAATTGGCTGAGAAAGGCGGTATACAAATACAGTAAATAAATAAATAAATAAATAAATAAATAGTGAGATCGAAGTCACTGGTGAGAAAAGAGAAGCCAATTTTCCAAAATAAATCTCACCAAGTTGAAGCAGAAGCCACCGAGGTATTTAAAGGATAACGGCTGCAGTAATCTGCTGAAGAGCCGCCATGCTCCAGTACGAGAAATTATACATTTAATACTTTTCCCAGTCTGAATTTCCCTTATCTGCCCCCAGAGCCGGCTTTGCTGGAATTGGTCAGGGGGGAGCCCTGACGTCAGCAAGCTGGGAGGAGAGGCCGGGGACTGGAGTGGCTCATCCAATGAGAGGCCGAGCCCCGCTTCGGCCGCTCAGCCAATGACGTGAAAGGAGGTGCAGCAACAGTAAAAACAAAGGAAAATAGTTGCTAAATGATGGGATTATGAGTGGCCTATCTACTCATTGTGGTCTGGAGACTTGATGAAACAAGAGAATTGCATTATACTGTTTTGTGATATTTTGCATTGTTGTGTAAACCGCTTTGAGTCGCCTAAGGGCTGAGAAAAGCGGCATAGAAATAAAGTAAATAAATAAAATAATAATTGTGCAGTCCAGGGATTAAACCCAACAAAATCAACAATAATTCTGGTTGGGGGGGGGGCAGTTGGGAAAGGGTTGTGCCTCTCACACAAGCACACACACACGCACGGATGCATGCAGTGTTAGTGATGCCTGTGCCTGTCCCTTGCAGCATGGCCTACCTCTTGCACCAGTCTGGCTCCCCGCATAGCCACCACTGCCTGGGCCAAGGGGGCTATGAGCGGATCGGGGAGAGCCCCTGCGGGGGCCCCTTAGTTCCCCGCAGCAACACCAGCGTCCGGGCCGCCTTCGTCCATGTTGTGGGGGACCTGCTCCAGAGCATTGGGGTCTTTGTGGCTGCCACCGTCATCTACTTCAAGGTAAGGAGGGAGGGAGGGAGGGAGGG